TTAAAGGGAGAGAAGAAACGGCGGGGGGGCGTGGCGGCCCTCCCGCCGAGGGTTCGGATCCCACATACAGACCGGTTCCCGCTCACTGGCTGAGCGAGGTGTGGGAGCAACACCGAGGGTTGCGATCCCGATGCCGGTCCCGGCCCGGTGCGGGCGCGACACTGAGGGTTACGATCCATTGCCGGACACGAAAAAAGACAAAAAGGAAAAAAAAAAAAAGAAAGAAAATCAGATTTTCCTGATGCCTTCGTATGTCAGGATTTTACTCATTGTTTTTGTCCAGAAAATAATCGCCTCTTGATTCCTTCTGGCCTTTTTTCTCTTTAGGCCAACAGAACTTTTCAGGAGTTGTAATGCTCAGTCAGATCAAGGAGCCATGAATGACATGAAACTGTGGGAGAAAGGAAGCATAAAGATGCCATTTATCAACATACCTGTTCTTGACATTAAAAAGTGCCAGCCAGAAATGTGGAAAGCAATAGCTTGTTCACTGCAGATTAAACCTTGTCACAGCAAATCCCGGGGAAGTATTATTTGCAAGTAAGTTTCTTTCATTATAATGACTGTCCCATTGTGGTCTAGACCCTCTATGTTCTCTACCCACAGACTCTCTTTAGAATTTTCCCTCCCACCACTTCCCTTTGCCTATCCCCACATGTCAAATGCTTTCTCAGCTTGAAATACTGTTCCCCCATCTCTACTTGCCCACTGCCTGTCCTTCGTCTCCTCTCAAATACCAGACATTCCAATGGAGTCTTCTCAGATTTCTCCAGCTGATAGTAATTTATCCTTACTACAAATTCCTATAGACTTTTATTTGTACTTCTCTTGTGGAACTTAGTTCAAGAAACATTTATTAAGTAACGATGCATAATTCTATTTTTATATTTTAATGTATATACTTGTCATATTCTGTTAGACTTTGCTCCCCTTAAAGAGCTTATTCTTCTTTGTGCCATTTTTCTCTTCTTTCCTCTTTTTCTCCTCTTTAGTTATTACCCTAATCTTGACACACAATAGGTATTCCAGAAATGTTTGATGAGTGAAAGAGTTAATGAATACAGTCATTAGGGTCTACTCCTAGTAAACATTTTTGAATGGTTTGCTTAGGAAATCTAGGATAAAGTAAAGATTGGATCTGCTATGGTGGGTGAAGCCAAAAGTATTTAACTACCTAGTAATCTACGTCAGCTGCTCTTTAAGCATCTTTTTTCCAAAAGCTTTTCCAAAACAAAGTTAATCCCAAGCCCCTAAGTTGCTGATGTATGGCTCAGTGCTGCTGTTCATGATTCATTTCAGATTATTTCAACCTTAAACAGAGTTCAGATCCATTCTCTGAAAAGACCTGGGGATAAACTGAGTAGGAGAGATACCGAAGTATAACTATTGGGTAACAAACAAGAGGCAACAAGTAGGAAATAAATACTCTTAGCACAGAAAACTTACAGAAGAGGAGTCAAGTCCCCATTGAAGACTAAGAAAAATTTTAAGTATATTTTGGGCTTTTCAGTTGTTATAGGCCAAACACCTTAATGTTGATAACTAAAAAAATATTTACAAAGAGTAAGGCAGGGCTGGCCTGTTAGCTTAGTTGGTTAGAGTATGATGTTATAACAACAAGTTCAGGGGTTCAGATCCTCATACCAGCCAGCCAACCACCAAAAAAAAAGCGGGGGGGGGGGGGGGAAGGGACGCAAGCAAGCAAACAAGCAAGCATAAGATTCTGAAAATAAAGATATATGATTTTGCAAAGAGCAAATCACACTAGCCTAATTAATTTCCTTTCAAAATTCGTGAAAAGCCCAAGATGAAGGGTTCAGATCTCTGTACTGGCCAGATGCCAAAAAAAAAAAAAAAAGATGAAAGCCACATTATACCAGCAAGTATAAGTATGAAATTTGAGCAAGGCCTTTGATCTCAGTTAACAGAAAGTTAGGGATGCCTTGAATTTACTATTCAACCTGAGGTCCACTATGACTCCTATTCTCTTTTGCCATACTTACACCTAACCAACTGTGAAACATTAAGTTATGAAAACTCACTTTCTGGAGCACTTTAGAAACATAAATGATACTGACTAGACAATATGAAGAAGTTCCTTAAACCCTAAATCTGTGTGCTTTTTTTTTCAAGATCAGATTGTGTAGAAATTCTCAAAAAGTGTGGAGACCAGAACAAATTCCCTGAAGACCACACAGCTGAAAGTATTTGTGAGCTTCTGTCACCTACAGATGACCTGGAGAATTGTATACCGTTGGATACATACCTCAGTAAGTACTGTTTGTTTTGGAGGAGCAAGTATCTGTGGAGAACATGTGGTTCAATGATACCATGTCAATCACAGACTCTTATCCTATTTTCTTGGGCTTTTTGGCCCAGGAAACAATTGTCATCTTAAAATACGTGAACAGAAGTGATTATCATATCAGTCTGAGGAGGTTTGAGTTATTGTCAATTAGGAATTCTAAGCAGTGAATCAGGAGGCCAGCATGCTCAGATAACCAGCTCCATATTATTGCTGTCTCCTTGCCATGATATGACCAAAAACTGGAATTTGCCCCCAGGAAGTACTCAGCTTTTTGCCATCAGAATATCAGTTGACCCAAGATAGGTATTGGCTTGGATTTACCCACCATCTAAGGAAAAAAGGATAGTCTGGGTTAGTATGTGAAAATGGAACTTATCTCACTGCTTCAGCGTCTCTCTGCCAAATACTCCTGCCAAGAGCAAGAAGAGTGAGTTGGAATCTCATTGAGGGATTCTGGAGATGAGCTTCGTGGCAGCGAGGTGACTGTGTGGTGGAAACCGTGGATAACAAATAGAACTCCTACATACTCAGCACAGTAGTTAGGGTAAGAGAAGTGTTTAGGCTGCCGCCAGGGGGCATTAGTACCATGAGCTGGCTGGAAAAGCAGACAGTGAAGTAAGCTCCTACTTGTTTTGTTTTCCTGTGTTAGTTTGACTGGCAAATAGCAGAGCATCAGATAGAAATAGAAGAAGGCTTAGAAACAAACAGTCCAGGGATTTTACCGTGGCACTGTCATCAGGAATCCAGGCTCCTTTTATCTTTCTCCACCATCCTTAGCACTTGGCTTCAGTCATCAAGGTTACTTCATGTACTTTTTCATCACAACATGGCTATGAGAGTTTTGGCCACCATCTTTTAGTTCCAGACAGTAGAAAAGAAAGGGGAGAGCAAACAACTTCTCCTTAATCTCATTGGACACCCCTAGTTGTAAGGAAAAGTAGGAAAGATTATCCTTTTTAGCTGCAGGCCTATTGCCATCCTAAGTAAAAATGGAGATCTATTAGTAAACAGGGAGAGAAGAGTGAATGCTAGATTAGTCCGTAGTACCTGCCATGTTTTCTCAAGACCAGCAAACTATGTTCCTTAACTTCTGTGCCCAGTATAGCAAAAAAGAAAGCATTCGACTAAAACTTAGACCTCTGTGAATTTGAGCAGATCACTTCTTTGAGCCTCAGCTTCCTTATTTATAAAATGATTAGACTGATTGGGATGAGCTCCAAGAGCCCCAATACTTCTATTAGTCTTAGAGTCTGAGTCTAGCCTAAAATCAAGTAAGCAAAACTAATGAGTTCACAATCCTAGACTCTATTACAGCAGTCAAATACATGGGCACTTCAAAAAGTTCATGGAAAAATAGAATTAAAAGATAATACAAATCTTTCCATGAGCTTTTGAAATACCCTAATGTATGTATAAAAGGAAACTATTTCAGTAGGAGGACAAATAAAGAAATGCTTTTGTTTGAATTTCAGTACTCTGTTTTAATATTATACGTACTCTATATTAAGTAAGACTCTTCCTTGGTCATGATTTCAGAAGTTAAATATATTCATGGTATGGGGTCCATATTATACCATAATAAATTATCACTTATGATAAAACATGCTAAATTATCCCTCTTAGACATAAGCATGTATGTGACCACCCTATCCAGAAATACCTGTCACTTCCAATCCCCTGCCACTACTGATTATTTATAATTGTCTGACTTTATTTTTTATTTACTCACACACGCGAGTACACACACACACACAGTATATTTATTGTCTATTTCTCTATGAGATGTAAACTCTGTGTTAGAGACTGTTTTGTTCATCACAGTATCTCCAGTAGACTAGAACCTTGCCTGGCATATTGTAGGTACCCAATAAATAAACAAATGAATGAGTGGATGTATGTTTATGCTAAATTCACAAATGATGAGAGAATCTGAGTGTTTTGATACCTTGTTAGACTCAAGCCTTGCTTTATGCTCATGAGCTGTCCATTTATTCCAGCCATAATTAATTCAGGTAATTCACAGATTTGTTACTCTTTTAGGTTGATTTAACTGATCTGTTTTGGTTTTTTCAGGGCCAAGTACTTTAGGTAACATTGTAGAAGAAGTGACTCATCCCTGTAACCCAAATCCTTGCCCAGCCAATGAGCTCTGTGAAGTGAACCGAAAAGGGTGCCCACCTGGAGATCCCTGTCTTCCATACTCTTGTGTTCAAGGTAAAAGTAGGTGGGTGTGGTTGTGGGATGAGCGTGGATAGGTGCTGCTGGTGTTTCTTTGTAGGGGTTATCTTTGAAGTGACATTACAAAGGATTTTATTTTCTGTATTATGTGTTCCCATAATGTTTGAGATTTTCCCAATAAACATGCATTATTTATATAAGCGTAAAAAGACAAAGACATGTAATTTCAATTGTCCTTTAGATTGTAAACTAATAATATCAATCCAAAACTCATAATGAGTTATAGGGTTCTTGACTACAAAAGAAAAAAGAAGCTTGGGCCAGCTTTTTGTACTTTCTCTTGCATATTGTAATGTTTGAAAAAACATATTGTACATTTTTCATTTTTTTTCCTTTCCTTTAGTATATGGAAAAATGGCATCCTCACTAGGATGTGTAATTTATCTCCATAAAGATTAATGTTGTATTTAAATGCATGGTTTTAAGGCTGAAAAATTTTTATCCCATAGAATTTTGATAGTCTTTATCTCTCAGTCAGTCCCTTTAGAATATAGTTATGGCAAGCTTTTGCTTCTCTTTTTTTTTTTTTCTTAAAAGATGACCGGTAAGGGGATCTTAACCCTTGACTTGGTGGTGTCAGCACCACGCTCACCCAGTGAGCTAACCAGCCATCCCTATATGGGACCCGAACCCCAGACCTTGGTGTTATCAGCACCACACTCTCCCGGGTGAGCCATGGGCCAGCCCAAGCTTTTGCTTCTTTTTATCTATTTCCTAATTGAAATTTTTTAAAATCATGTTCAAATCAACATTTTAAAATATCTTTAAAGTAAAAAGGAGCAAAAGATTAAATGCGCATGATACCTCAATGGATCGTCTATAATATTATGTAGTACCATAAATATCAGCTATAGAGTTGTAATAAATCTTGTTAAAATTGGAAATGTTGGGCTGTTTTAAATTCAAGATAATAATTTTTTGTCCCTTTATCTTTACATTATAATTTGGTCCGTGTTTTCTTTGGCAAGAAAATAAAGCAGCTACTTAAAATAGTGACATCTTTATTCCATATTATTTATTTATTTATTTTATTTATTTATTTTTTTAAAAAGATGACCGGTAAGGGGATCTCAACCCTTGGCTTGGTGTTGTCAACACCACGCTCAGCTAGTGAGCCAACCAGCCATCCCTATATAGGATCCGAACCCGTGGCCTTGGTATTATCAGCACCGCACTCTCCCGAGTGAGCCACGGGCCGGCCTTATTCCATATTATTTAAATATGGAATTCAATTCAGAATTTTCTTCTTTTGTTAAACTCAGAAAGCCTATCTTATAAGATAGAAATGTATAAGACAGAAAATGGGTTTTCTTGAAGCCCACCCAAATATTCAATTTTTCTTTGAATTTAAGGTATTCTTGTATTTCATCACTGAAAGTTTTCCTGATCAAGATTATTCTAAAAATACTCCCAGTTTCCATATTCCATTTTTAAAAACCTATGATTAAAAAATATCTTTGATTAACCCAAAGAAATAAAAAGCTACTTATAGCATTTTTGTACTGAATTTAGCTAACTTTGGGGTACAGGTTCTTAATCACCACCGTCCCTCAGAACATAGAATTTTTATTTGAGCGGGTATGTTTTTGGCCATTGTACCAAAGCAATTCCTTAATTTGGTGAAAGTTCTTTACATAAGTGTTAATAGCTACATAATAGCTATAATACTTTTATAAAGTATATCTAATGTCATAAAACAATGTCATAGAACAATATCATCTCTCTCAACTAATTTTTGTCTATACAGGTTGTAAATTGGGAGAAGCTTCTGATTTTATTGTCCGTCAAGGGACACTAATCCAGGTGCCTTCATCTGCAGGGGAAGTTGGTTGTTATAAAATCTGTTCATGTGGACAAAGTGGACTCTTAGAAAACTGTATGGAGATGCACTGTATAGATCTCCAGAAGTCCTGTATTGTTGGTGGAAAAAGAAAAAGTGAGTGTTGAACTGTATTTGGTTTTTTTTGTTGTTTTTTTTTTTTTTGTCTTTTTTCCGTGTCCGGCAACGGATCGCAACCCTCAGTGTCGCCCCCATACCGGACCGGGACCGGCAACGGGATCGCAACCCTCGGTGTTGCCCCCGCGCCTCGCTCAGCCAGTGAGCGGGAACCGGTCTGTATGTGGGATCCGAACCCTCGGCGGGAGCACTGCCGCGCTTCCCAAGCGGTGCACTAGCGCAGTGCACCACCGGGCCGGCCCCTGGTTTTTGTTTTTAATATGAGATGAGGTATCTACACTTTGTTGGAAGAACATTGGATGGATTCTTACCAAGGAGTAAGATCTACATATCAGATACTCCAGGGCAGTATTTTCCAAACTATACAGAGCTCTAGGACTTCTCAGGAACCCTCTAAAAGCCTCTTCAAGAATGGGTAGTGGTTAATTAATTAATACTTATTGAATTCTAATTGTGTGCCAAGCACGATGCTAAGGCTTGTCCTACATTATCTCATTTAATCCTCTAAGTTACTCTTTGATATAGGTATTATTGTTATACCTACTTCATAAATGAAGAAGCTGATGCTCAAAGAGGTCATCTATCTAGTTAGTGACCAAAGTAGGATTCAGCTTCAGGCCTATTTGACTCCAAAACCCAGGTACCCTCCTCCCCATCCCACCCCTGCTTCTCCAGAAGTGAAACTCAGATTTTGACATCATGGAAAGCTGATGGGAATCCATGCTACACTGTTGGTTAGGGGTTTGGAATGAGCACATTAAAAACTGCCACTCTTTGATCACCTTCCCTACAAATCTTAGAATCTTGCTTTCCCACTGTTTCCTTAACCATCTTTTGCTTATAGCCCTAACAACTGTTCATGTCAATATATGACTTCAAAAATTGTGGAAAAATGCCCGTTTTGAGGATGTGCTCCCTCCCCACCAGCTCACCCTGCTACCTTAGCCCTACACCCATCCTCCTACCCCATCAACCATATAGTTCAGTTTTTTTTTTTTTGTCTTTTTCCGTGTCCGGCAACGGATCGCAACCCTCAGTGTCGCCCCCGGACCGGACCGGGACCGGCAACAGGATCGCAACCCTCGGTGTTGCCCCCGTGCCTCGCTCAGCCAGTGAGCGGGAACCGGTCTGTATGTGGGATCCGAACCCTCGTCGGGAGCGCCTCCGTGCTTCCCAAGCGGCGCACTAGCGCAGTGCACCACCAGGCCGGCCAATAGTTCAGTTTTTATATGCTATTTGGTTTACTCTTCTGTGTGAGATCTTACCTGAAAGAAGAGTGCTCTTAGCTAAACAGAGCTTGCAAATTTTTGCCCCAGAGTAAGTCAAGTATTTGTTTCTTAGTCCATATTTTACTTAGCTAAAATGTGAAGGTAGTTACCTTGTATTATAGAAAATATCTGAGGACAAACAAATCCATTCCTTCTGTAAATTTTCACTGACTAAACGCCTATTCTGTACAAAGGAACATACTATTGCCTTGTGGAGCTGAAACTGGGATGGGGGGGTAAAATCATGCTTTATGTGATAACATGGGAGAGAATTTGAGCCACAAAAAGTTGCAGACCAAGTGCTCTTCTGGGAGCTAGTTATTTCTCCCTGGGCATCAGGAGAGTCTTCATTCCAAAGATGGCATCAGGCCTGGCCCTGGAGAGATGAGCAAAGTTCCAGAGGAGGAGAGGAGCATTTGAGGCAGAAGGGGCAGCCAGAAACATCCTCACGGAAAAGGGAACAGCCTGATGAGAACAGCACATTAGGGACTGGGAGGAATACGGTGGGAGGTAAATATGAAAATATAAATATCACAGATGTAACTCCCTACTTTGTATATTCAGAAGTCATCTTTCAAGAATTTCCATTTTAAAACTTTCTGAACTGTTCAAATTTTAATTTATGCTCTATTTCTCAGCACATGATATAGATCAACATTTTCTTTCCTGTTCTTCTTAGGTCATGGAACATCCTTTAGTATTGACTGCAACGTCTGTTCTTGTTTTGCTGGCAATTTGGTGTGTTCTACCCGCCTCTGCCTCAGTGAGCACAGTTCAGAAGATGACCATCGCACCTTCACAGGTGACCGTAGTCACCCAGAGGATGTCCTGGGGGGCCCATCATTCCTTTGTGCCCATTTTGCCCTTCAAGGTGGCTTCTCTGATTTTGTCTTAACTTAATACACACAGTAAGATAAATACAGAATCTGAGGACAAGATACTTTCCCTTTCTGAACCTCAGTTTCATCCTCTATGAATTGAAAGCATTAAACTAAATGGTTTCTTCGGGCCTTTCCAGCACTAATATTCTGGAATTTCATGACTCAAAAGAACAGGGCTAGTGATTGGGATGGTTTTAGTTAAATGGAAGTTTTCTACCTGGTAAAATATCCTATTTACCCCTACTATACAGTCTAAAGCATCCATGTATTTTCTGTTTGTTTCTCACCACCTTCTTTGTTAAACCTACCTTATCTTACTCCATTTACTTATTTTACTTATCTTAGTTCATTTAGGCTCCCACAAACAATAATATCCCAGAATACTACTTTCTTGACTTTACGATGCTTTATGCTGCTGGTATTATGCTCACGCCAGCTACTGTAAGTGAAAAGGCTGGCGAGATGGGATGCTTTTCTCTTGTGAAGCTGCAGGTGCCAACAGCAACAGCAGCCTACTGGTGTCTTGGTGTTTGCTTTTTCCCAGATCTGAAGAACCTTTGGTTCTGGGTTAAAAGGTACTAGTAGCTTCCCTTGCCCCATTTCATGCTGCTGCAGTGGCAACTTGATCCTTTTTTCCCTGTAGCTAGCATTACACATGGAGAGAGAACAGAATAAAAGATTGACCAACTTTGTACCTCCAGCCCATCAGAAACAATAAGGAGATCAGAAATGAGAAGTGTACGGCAGACTGATGGGGTAGTTTAAGCAGGACTAACTCTACCCCATCCTCTCTCTACCCTAATGAGTACCATCCTTCAGTGCCTTATTATTATTATTATTATCATCTTTTTTTTGGTGGCTGGCCAGTATGGTATGGGGATCTGAACCATCCTTTATTATTATCCTTTGTTTGCTGTGCTCTGGTGAGGACAATTTATTCTGCTTAGAGAAGCCACAGAAGGATGTGGGGATGAAGAGTGAGCTAAAGATTTACAAGGAAGACTTTTATTTTTTAACATCTAAATGTTCTAGAAAGATAAATTTTACAACTAGCTAGACTCTTGTTCCCTATAATGTGTGGCCCCTAGTGTCAGTAAATTAAGTTGATGATTATTTAGCTGCCAGACTCTGAGGAAGTATTATTGGCCCCAAAGTGTACCACATTTCTTGGGACTCAGTGCCCCAGTCCAAACATGACTCAGAGACAGATGTTCATAAAAATTTGTAAGTCTTAAAATTACAGTTATCTCCCACATTATCTTCTTGTTCTTCCCCTTCCCTAAGGAGAGGGAAGTGTAAGGAAACTGTGTGAGAGCTTACAACCTTCACTTTGTCTTATTTTTGGTATTACCCTTTAACATTCAAGAAACCCCCCAAGCCAGACTTCAGACATCTAAATTCTAGATTTTATATGCCAGATTGGGAGAAACATTTCCTACTTTTCCTCGTATAGCCTTGTTTATAGGGGTCTCTACCTGGGATGAAGGTCTGGGGTCCTCAATGAGCTGGCAATAAAAAGGACAAAGGAAGGTCAAGGGTTTGGATCCTTGTACTGGCCAGCTGCCAAAAAAAAAAGGACAAAGGAAG